TCACACTACACAGCTTCCACCCACCTCTCACACCATACTGCTCACAACCACACACCAGTTTATACACATTAACCCCACATATGCACAGAGAGCTTATACTGCAGCCACTCCCCCACACACCACACAGCTCACTTCAGTTTCTTTTTCTCCAATTTCCCCCAGCACTTGCCTGTGCAGGCCCTGATACTCTCACCTGCCAGCCATGCTGCCCTATGAAACTGAACTTCACTAGAGGGGGGAAGGCAGTTCCAATTTATTACCTCATGGCCTCAGCAAAGTGCTTTGTTCATGATGGTGCTGTTGTTAGCTGCTATGGAGGTGGCCCAACTCAGTGCCCCACATATTTAGGGGAAAAATGTTGCAACCCCTGATCACAGCCCACACATGCAAGCACATGCACATACTACACAACTCACAAGAACTCATACACTAGCAGCACATACCACACAACTCACTATGGTGAATTATTTAATGTCTTTTCCAGCCAAAGTCTTGTGAACTCCCATAAAATTACATTTTCTTGATAGGTCTTGGTAAGAGAAGGTAGGGTAAGATGCTGGTAGAATTTATCATTCAGTTGTGAGTGACTGTTAACAAGAATAATGTGAATGGTTGATTTTGCCATCCTACTGGACATAAAATGAGCCGTCTCAGAAGCATTAGGAAGGATCCCACTACCATAAAAGAACATCTTTTGGACATCAAGATCTTTGCACATTGAACTTCTCTGACCTAAGGACACTGGTTACAACACCAGAGATGTGGCATATGAGCAGTAGTAGCAGAATCAAGAGCCAGAGCACAAGACAGAGTGTTGGGCTCCTCAGCCCACGGAGCAAGTAAAGGTGAGTGTCTCTGGGCAGAGAAGGCTTGCTTGCAGAGTGGAGTGCCTCCAGGTACTAGGTTTGCTGATGCATGGAGTGAGAGTCAAGTGATTTCAGGCTGAGGCTTACGGTGGAGTTGCATGCCCTTTGGACATTTATCAGCAGCCCTACAAGAGCTTTGTAACACAGGCTAGGTAGAGTGAGGCCTACCTGTGGGCACGGCAGAGAGGCTGTCCTGACTGGAAGGCATGTGCCCTGAGCATTTCTGACCCTGAATTATAACCTGCTAACTCCTAATGGAGTCCTGGTGTGGCGCTGTAGGATACGCACTTGACCATAAGATGAGTTTGAATTGCAAGATTGGCAGTTCAAACTGACCAGCTGCTCCTTGGAAACCCTATACTACAGGGTCGCTACGGGTCAGAACTGACTCAACAGCACTTAGCAATACTCCTTAACTGTGAGTATGCTGTCTGAGTCCTGTGTGGCCACTGCAATGAATTATCAAACCCAACATGAGTGTTGTGGGAAGGATGGCTGCTGCCATATTTTTACACTCACACCACACTGATGATCCCCCTGATCAACTGTGGATCAGAACACAGCAATCAGTAAGGTGCTACAGTGGTCAGTAAGGCTGAAGTGAATCTCAATAGAAGGAAGGACAGACTGTTCAGATAGCTGTAGAATGTGACACGGGGGTCCCCACATATTCGTTGAGAGCTTATTTCAGCAGTGGCCAGATACTTCCTGACCAATATTATTATTCATTAGGTTGTAATTCTGAGGCTGTGGTGACTCAGTGGTAGGACTCTTGCTTTCCACAAGGGAGCTTCTGGTTTGATTCCTGGCCAATGAACATCCACCATCTACCTATCAAGGGAGGCTTGTATGTTGCTATGACATTGATTCTGTACAACTTTTAGACTGAGACAGATCAGAAGACAGGTCTGGTGATCTTTCAGAAAATCAGCCAGTGGAAACCCTGTGGATCAACATGGTCTGCACCACAACTGGTCATGGGTATGTTGCAGGACCAGGCAGTGGTTTGTATGGGGCTGCCGTAAGTCAGGGGCCAACTCGCCATACTAACAACCACAGGCAGTGAGCCATTCCAGATCTCATAAGCACTGCTGCGGGTGGACCTTTGGCAAGGCTTGTGTGGGTGGCAGTTGAGAGCAGGTCCACAGTGTGAGAAGCAGCAGCAGCAGCCCCTTGAATTGGGCTCTTGTCTCTGCGTCAGGTGGTGCAGATGCAGGAATCTCCTAATGGTGCTTCTCCCCTGCAGGTTCTGCTCTCAGTCTGCTACACACTCTATTCTTTCCTCACCTCAATCCCCCAACCCCAGATGCCGTTTCTTACAAGGCGACCCTAGAGAATTTTGCAGAATGGAGCCAAGATTGAACATAGGCAATGATTGGAAAATGCCACCAGGGAAAAGTCCCCACGTGGCTTTTGGGAAGATGCTGGGCATTGAGCTTACAGGGTAGGTAGGGGTGGTGTGGCACAGAGCCAGCAGATGCATCCATTTGATCCTATCTGACCAAAGGGATCAAGCAACAAGTCCCGCAGTGGTAGTGGCAGCAGGATAGCCTGGGTGCTCAGGGCCCCTTACTTAACCTTCCTGAGTGTCAGTTTCTGGCTCTGTGCCACACCACCCTGTGCAGCAAGCATTATGAGTTATGCTGCAAGCCGGGAAATATTGCTGTTCTTGACTGTTACTGTTATAGCTGCCCATGAGTTGCTCCTGCTGGCCATACCAAATGCACAAAATAAAAGACAGCTTAATTCAAGCACATCAAAGCCAAAATGTTTATGAGGAAAAAGTCAGTGAACAAAGACAAAAACCACACGACAAATAGGAAAGATTCACAAATCACCATATAGACAAGAAGTTAACTACAGAAACCTACAGAGTCAATCGAACCTGATGCATGTTCTACATGTGTCAGAGGAGAATTGTGCTCCGTGGGTTTTCAGTGGCAGATGTTTTCGGAAGTAGATGACTAGGGCTTTCTTCTGAGGCACCCTGGGTGGATCTGAACCACCTACCTTTGAGTTAGCAGTGCAATGCCTATGTATGCCATCCAGAAATTGCTAAGGGTTCAGAAGAAATTGCTAGGGGTAAGAAGAAAAATGGGCAAAGGATCTGAATGGAGAGTTGACAGGACAGGCAAGATAAACGATCCTAAATATTCGTAACAGATGCTCATCTTCACACCGAGTTAGAGAAACACAAATGAAATGACTGACTGACTGGGCTGTTGCTCTTCCCTTTTAGATGAGCAGGAACCCCACCCCACAGCTGACAATACACTGGAGGTATGGGCTTTCCAAGCTGTGACTGCACGTACTCTCTGACCCAGCTATTCTGCTTCTACAGATAGAATATATACACATATTCCCTGTATGTAAGGTTGCTGGGGACAGCATACACAGACCCTGGGTTGATCAGTGGCAGCCCCATTAAACCACTTCTGAATATAATCAGTTTAACCCAGATGCTCTCCCTCCTCCTGAAAGTATATAGGAATATTAAGAACAAGTAGCATTTTAGGTATAGATAAATGAAGCCCGGTGTCTGAGATCTTGCTCACAAACAGAAGTTTGTAAAGTGTACAGAGACAGCTTGGCTCTTTTCAGGAACCTTGCTTTATGTTATGTATCCTTAAGAAACCGCACGTTGCTACTCTAGATCATTTAAGCCTAAAAGTTAATATATAACAGCTTGATTGAACCTTTTTTTCTGTAAAAATAAAAATGTTAGATTAAGAAAAACTATGAAAATATCTTAAAAGTTGTTCCTGTGAATCATTATGTCTTGTTTTGAATGATTAATCACATTTCAGTTCCGTATCCTGTCTTAATCACATCCTCCCTTTGTGACATCCTCCCTGAGTGAATTACATCCTTCCTTTGTAACAAATCCCTCCCTAAAAAAGAGAATAAAAGGCTGAGGTAGAGTAAATTCTGCAGGCAATGCTGTGCAATGCTAGGCAAAATGTTTGTAGATCTGTCTACCTGCCAGCTTGCATCTGTGTGTCTGTCTTTTTTGTATATATTTCGTCTTTCTCTTTCTCGATCACTTTCGGCGCCAGATCTCCCTTCTTCATGACACCCACACTTCCTTGTCGAGGCGGGACCCCGACATAGGACCTCGACATAAGGTTGTACAGAACTATTTAGTGTTGCATTGCTTTCAATACTAAAAGAGGGGAAAATGTCAGTCTCTGTGGACAAAGTACTGACAGGTGTATGAACTCCTGCTGCATTGGTGCAGTGGATGCTGGGAAGCTCTTGATGTGCCAACAGGGTATGATCCCATAAAGCACACAACCAACCCTTCAGGGGTCTGGACTCATACCCATGGCTCAATTTCCAGCCAAACAACAGATGGGTCTATAAGGAGAACATTAATGCTGAGGAGGTATGTGTCACCTTAGAATATCAACCATGTGAGATCAAAAGGGCAGAGTTTACCAAGGGACCAAGTTCAGAAAGGGATAGGAAAGGAGGAGTAAGTGGGATGAGTGAGTCTCCATTGTGGAGATCATAATCCATAGAAAACTGAAGCTCTGCTCTGTAAACCTTCACTCAATACAACCCACAAAAAAAGTGCACAGCTAAGTGGGAGAAGCTGGGGTGGGGCGGTATGGAAAAAGCAGGATGAGGGAGACACACAGATACTTGTAGACATTCTGACCACTATTGTCCTCAGGAAATGAAGGACCAGATAATCCCATAAGATGGGGCCCAAGGTAGGAATGTCACCCACATGCCCATGAGATGACACCCAGACTCAGATTGGTGAGTGCCTGGCTGGGGTGCAGGGCCTGCTGGGCTTCTCTGGGAAGTTTCAGGGGTTCTGGTGCAGTGGTCACCTTCCTGGCTGTCCAGGCACACCTGGTCCTGTGTGTGTGGCAGGGCTGTTCATGCAGGCTCCTTTTGCTGGGCTGCTCTGAGGCTGGCCAAGAATCCAGGTCACAGTGACAGACAGTGCTCTGGACTAGCCTAGGCTAGCCTAGGACTGCTGGCTGTGAGCACCTCAGGCATTAGAGGACCCCTGGAAGACCTCTGAAGTGTCTGGCCCAGGGTTGTTTTTACTTCATGTGCTTCCCAGCATGGTGGGGGGTTGGGGACATATTGGACTATGGTGGGCAGGGGGATGCACCTTACCTGTCGTTCGGGCCTGTGGGCTTCCATCAGCTTCACCACCTGTCCCTGCTGCACCAAGATGGCCTGGGAGTCCCCTAGCCAGGCCACGTGCAGGGTGCTTCCAGCGATGAGAGCACATACACCCGTGGTGCCGCTCTGCAGCCGCTGCAGAGAGGGGGGCAACAGGCTGAGAATGGCAGAGGGCCTGCATGATCTACCCTGCATGGTACCACCCGTGACAGCACAAGCAGAGTCTCAAGTTGAATTTGCACTCTCCTCTCATTCCTCCCAAGATTCCAAGATTCCATTCACACCAGTGGGGTTGAGGATTCCATTTCATCCTAAGCAAGGGTGTCTTTCCTTGGTGCTGGAGAAATAACCCTTGCAGTAGCTGGGGTGCCTTGGTCTGGGACCACAGGCCACACATGAGGATTTGTGATGTTGAGTGGGGGTGACCAGACTAGAACTGACTCACCTGGGAGGCTGATACCAGCCTACCTCAGAAGGCGTGGTTTAGTCAACCACATAGGACTGGCAGAGAAAAGCCTGGAGCCGAGACTCAAAGAGCTTCCTGGTTGGCAAAGGCTGGGGGACGTGCCCTCACTGAGATCTGGCAGTTCTGACTCAGGAGCCTCCCCAGATGTCACCTGTATCTCTTCCTCTTCCTCACAATGTTCCTGACTTGCATTCTTTTTTCTAACAGTGAAGTCAGCAGTTCCAACTCACCAGCCAGCTCTGCAGAAGTCTCCTCCTAGAACCAGAGTCTCAGAAGCCCTTAGGAGCAGTTCTCCTCTGTACTATGTATGGGGTTGCTCAGAGTTGGAATCAATTTGATGGCAGTGGGTTTTCTATAATATATCTATTAATTCTAAGAATAATACTGCAATTTCTGTGAGTTCTTCCAGTGAGTTACGGAATTCCGAGCGTCAACAGGTGAAAGTGAAGGTGTCATGAAAATTTCCAAACTTGCAGCCAACCTGCCCACTCGACAGTCTAAAGGATGGTGTATTTTGCACCTCTGAGATCTGTCTTAGCTCCAGGTGGCTCAGGTGGCTGGTGTCAGAAATGAAGGGACTCCATATTTTGGGTATTGGATTCATGTTGGTTACCTACAAAGTTACCCATGAAACCATTAAGAGTCTGCAGATGCAAACTAATCTCAAGTATCCAGAAGTAGCTGGGGTGGCCAGGTGGGGAGGGATGTTTATAGTCTTGACTGTGGTGAAGAGGGTGTCTGGGTGGGTATCTAGGTAAGGACATAGAAACTGCACACTTTAAATGTAAAGTGTATCATGTATAAATGAAAGAAAAATGGAAAAATCGAAATGTCTGCCTCAGGGAACTATTTCTCTACCCTAGAGACAACCTGAACTCAGGGCCCTTCTTCCACCTAGGATGCTGGTGGTCAGAGTAGCTGCACTGTCAGCTTCTCACTGATTTTCCCTGTATGCCTCTAGAGGCCACATGGCTGTTTGTGAAGGCCCAGAGGCTGGCTTTGTGCATTGCCATTAAAGTGTGAGCTCAAGGCTTGTCCTGGGTGTAATCTGGCCATAGCTACTGCTGGGCTGCATCAACTGAGGGTGGTCTTTTCAGCTGAGGCTGGGTTTCATGGTGTTGAAGACATGGAGGGCTGCTGGGAGGCCTGTATAATTGTGCAGGTGAGGTTCAGGTTAAGTTCCTACAGGAAGGCCTGGTATAATGTTTCTGGAAGTGGCTCTGATCCCTGGGGAGAGAATGCACCCAGTAGACTATGGTGGCTTACAAGGAATTGCCCAGGAAAGCAGGGTGGAGAGGATACTGCTTTCTTGTCAACATCTTTACTCCTTCAGCAGCCTGTCAGGTCCAGGCTATTGGGGGTCAGTGTTTGGGTCGGGGCAAGCTATGTGCTGTGTGTGCACTCAAGTTAAAAAGGAGCCTCCTTGACTTGTGACTCACTGAGTTGGTTTCTCACCCTTCGTGGAGGCCAGGACTCCTCTGGTGTGAAGGGCTACAGGCCCCATGCTGCCCTTGAGGTTTGGACCACGATTCTTACCTCTCGCTTTGCTTTTCGGAGGAACATCTCATCGGTAAGCCGGAAAGCTTCCCTGAGGGAGCCTTCGGGATCTGTGGGCAGCCCCGGCTGGCGGGCAGCGTTGGTATGTACATGCGCTGCTGCAAACTTGGCAGCATCCACCCCTCCGTGACCGTCAAATACAGCGAAGTAGGCGCGGTCCACAGGGTCCTGATGAGGAATGAAAGAGTTTCAAATATGCCAGCTATGCATCCTGATCCAGGCTGGCCTGGGTACACGTCTAGGGGGTGAACATTGATAGGGATGGGAACACGGGTACCTATAGGCTGGCCAAAGGGTACAAGGTTTGGGATAATCAGTATGGCCTTGGCTGAGTTCCAGCATAGAGTCGTTGGGGTGCAGGGCAGTTCCTACTGCTGGGTTGGATGGAGCAGGGTTCACAGTCACCCGTTGGGTAAAAAGGCACCCAGGGCCCTTCCCTAATAATAGACTGGGGCAAACCATTTTTTGTTCTTTAGGTTTGTATCCAGGTGGCTGCTGACCTGAGAGTTGGGCTCGCCACACCTGCCTGGAGGTGTGTAGCCAGCTGGTCCCCAGGAGCACTCACACACAAGCCAAAGAGCTGATTGAAGGCCGGCAGGGCCACGTGCCGATCCTCCATCTTGCGGCGTGTGTTCCGGATGGCATGGATGGAGACCAACCACTGTTGATGAAGATTCCTGGTGGTTGACGGAACCTGCTTTTGCCACTGGCTACACACATCCCAGAGCCTGGTGAAGAAGCTCCGTGCCAGGCCCCCAGCATCCAGCACTGCAGAGTGGCAGAGATATGGTCAGAGGGAGCTCAGGATACTGTCAGTCTCTTTGCTTCCCCTCCTCCTGGACAAGCCCAGTCCAGCCCAGTGGGGCAGTGTCATCTAGAGGGGCACATGATACACCAGCTGGGTTAGCCAAAATGACAGCATCTGTAAACACAGGATTTTAGCAACTGCACCAAAAGTTCTGCACCTACTGTTACGGACTGAATTGCAGTCCCTAACTGAAAATTCTGTTAGGATTTTTTTTTTTTTTTTTTTGACTTCCAGTTAGATGGAGGATTAGGCAGACACATTACATGGATCCCCTACAACAAAGATATGAGAAACCAAATAAACAGACACAGACGATAAAAATCCTAGAACCCTCAACTTTAGACATGGCACAATCATCTTGAAGTTTTGTGAGCAGCTTTGGTGACAGAAGGTGGCCTGGCAGAACAGATTCACATGGGTGACGGGGAAGGAGTGATTCCTTCTTTTTCTACATACTCCCCTGGTGACCAGAGATGTAACCAACTCCACCCCCTTCTCATCAAGGAGCCCTAGAGCTAAAGTAGGTTAAGCACTGGCTACCACCTAAATGCAGTTTGAATCCAATGGGGTTCTATAAGGAAAAGATGAGGCAGTTTGCTTCCATTTAAATTTACAGCCTTGGGAATGCTATGGGGCAATTCAACTCTGTCCTACAGGGTTACTTTGTGTGGATCTTTGGCTTGGCGTGATGCTCTCATGAGGCCTAAAACCTGCAAACTTGTGGCTGTGGATTTTCTTGCCTTAGGCAAGACTATTTCCACCACTGAGTTTAAACTCCACTCTCTACTCAAACCCAAAACAACCCACACTCACTGCCTTTAAGTTGATTCCGACTCATAGCAACCCTATATAGGGTTTCTGAAGCTGTAAATCTTTATGGGAACAGAGAGCTTTATCTTTCTCCTGAAGAGTGGTTGGTGGGTTTGAATTACCAACCTTGTGATTAGCAGTTCAGTGTTTATCCTACAGTGCCACCAGGGCTCCATTTTCTACCCAAGTAAAGGGCAAGTAAAAGTCAGACTCTGAGCAGCAGGAGGGAAGCCCAGCCCAGTCCAGCTCCTCTGGTGCCAGCACAGACCAAGTTCTGGCTCTCTGCCCTTGAACTGTGGTTTTCCTAAGAGGACTTTGGAAGAATGACAGTCTTTATGACATCTGACCTCCCCATGGCAGAGGCAGCCCGTATTTGCCCCTTCTTTCCTCACAGGCCAGTTGGGAAGCCCAAGTGGAGGGTGCCTCTGGGAAAAAACAAAACACAGTTGCTGTCAAACCGACCCACCACATGTGACCCCATGTGTGTTAGAGTATAACTATGCTCCATGGGGTTTTCAATGGCTATTTTCTGGGAAGTAGGTCACCAGACCTTTCTTTCAAGGTGTTCTTGGGGTTGACACAAACCACCAACCTTGTATTTAGCAAGTGTTTTACCCTTTTAGCCAGGAGTCCTGATGTGGCACTGTGGGTTAATGTGCTGGACTGAAAAGTTGGTTTGAACTGCAAGATTGGCAGTTCAAGTTCACTAGCTGCTCCTTGGAAACCCTACGCAGGATCCTTATGGGCTGGAACTGATGCCCTGGTACTTAAAACAATAGTTCTTTTTGCCAGTTAGGGACTGCTCTGGTGAGAAGCCCAGTCAGCTGCGCAGTTTTCATTTGGGCCAGCAGGCGGCTCTGATTCCCTGCCTGGGCTGGTAAACAGCATTTTGTTCTTGAGGAGGGGCGGGGTGGGAAGGAAAGCTGCCTTTGTGTGAATTGGGGAGGAAGCTGGCTGGTTTTGCTGAGAACAGTGGCTGCCTGCTACCAAGGCCAGCAGGCTAACAGGCTTTAGGATGTTGTGCACTATGAGGAGAAGGGCGGGTGTGAGATGGCCTGGCACTGACTGAAGCCAGAGGCTTTACATAGTGATCTTTCCTTTGGTTCCCCAGTAACCATCTTCCCATGGTGTCCTGGTGGTGCAGTGGGTTAAGCTCTGGCTTGCTATTTTGAACTCACCAGCCAATCAAGGAAAAATGAGACAGTCTGCTTCCATAAAGATTTAGTCTCAGAAACCCTCTGGGCAGCTCTGGGCTGTCCGACAGGTTTGCTAAGAGTCAGACTTGACTCCATGGTGGTGTGTTTGGTTTGGTTTTGGAAGCATCTTCCCATCAGCTTCATGCCCACAGTCATTCTGAGTTTAGAGTATTGGTCAGTTGGGAACTGGCACCGAGGTACTCACTGCTCAGGTGTCTGGTGGCCTGGTCAAGAATAAATTTTCGGCTGGGAGAAGCACTCTAGTATTAAGTTGGGCACCTGGCCCCTGGGGCACCTCTACTGACAGGATGCCTATGACATCCCTGAAGGTCCGTGTAGCCCAGGCCCAGGGTGTTTGGAATTCTCAGAGTTTGGTTGCAGACCCCAACTTTGTTTCTCTGCTTCTCTCTCTGCATCTGATATGTGTGCAGCTGCAGCTGCAACAAACTGTACCTGTCACTGGGAGACGATTGCCACAGGCTGGCTCTTCACTAAGCCCTCATCTCCTCTGCACTTTCAGTCTAGCAAGGACCAAAATAAAAGACCAGTTGCTGATGTCCCTACGTATGCAGAAGGGGCCTGGGCTCCACAAGGTTTTCAGTGGCTGACTTTTTACAAGTAGACTGCCACCTCTGGGTGGACTGGAACCTTTGACCTTTTGGCAAGCAGCCAAGCATTGAAGTTTATACCACCGAGGAGTTCCTAACATGGACCAACACTTTTGTAACCCAAACAATAGATAGTTCTAGAAGGGAAACAAAAACAGTAGTGAGGCATGCATACCTTAGAAAAATGAACCCTTTGAGATCAAAAGGATAATGTTCAGAAGGCACAGGAAAGGAGGAGAAATAGGAAACACAAAGAGGAAGTGAGACCGTGACTGTTAACATTGTAGGGGTTGCAATCAATGACATGAAACAAAATGTATATGAATCATTGAATGGCAAACTGAATCTAATCTTAAAGCACCCAACTCAAATTAAACAAACAAACAAAATGAATTACTAGAAGAACAAAAGAGACAATGTGGAATAAGAGTCCCTATGTTTTTATGATGAGATGTGGCTGGCATGTACAGAGTGGGGAGGAGAAGGTGTTTTAAAAAGTTAGTGGAAAAAGGAATGAAAAGATAATAGTTTTTCCATCTCCTACTCATTCTGTGTAGTGATTATGAATTGGGCTGTGAACTGCAAGGTTAGCAGTTTGAAACTACCAGCTATTCCACAGGAGAAAGATGAGGCTTTCTGCTCCTGTAAAGACTTACAGCTTCGGAAACCCTGTACAGCGTTGCTATGAGTCAGAACTGATTCCAAGGCACATAACCACCACTGGTTCTGTTGGAGGTTTGCAGGCTTCCCTGGATCTTGGGCTTTTCCAGCTGTGTCTGTGCTCTGGCAACCTCTGGGAAGCACTGTCTTGGGGGGCCCTTACCAGAAAAGCACCCAGGATGTGGTTGACCGCCTCTGCCTCATGGTCCCAATTTGAGTATGTGGGGGCAATTAAGGTGTGTACCGATTTTCCACAGCGGTACCACCACATGTCCACTTCCATCCCACTGGCAGGACCTCTGAGTTTAGTCATGCTAAGTAATTCAGTGCCTGGGCCTCCTCACATCAGAACTGGACGAACATTATTCATTCTTTGGGTGTTTCTGGAACCTGAGCCAGCAGGCTGCCTGTCAGGGTGCCCAAGCCCACTTGAGGATGGTGCCCGGGCTGAGGCTGACTGTGTGTGCTTGTGTTTTACCATGCTGCCCTCAGGCATGGAAGTAGGGCCCTCTGCACTTTAACCCTGAAGCCCCTGCTACTCTTGAGCCCTCTGTAGCCTCCATCAATGGGATCTCACATCCACATCTCTGGTAGGAGATTGGGATAAAACCTGGGAGCCCTGAAATCTTGCCAAACTGGCCTATTTAGGCCTGTTGAGTCTGCAGCAAGGCCTGGCAAGCCTGGGGCCACCAGAAAAGGGGACTCACTTGTCACAGGGGCCTTGTCCACTTCTTCGTCACCCTCTTCTTCCTCAGGATCTGGTGGCTTCCTGAACTCTGACAGGTTTGTCTGCAACAGCTGGGAAAGGGCCGCATGGGTCAGGGCCGAAGCCAGCACTGGTGGAGCACTCCTATGGAAGGAAGATGGGACAGGACCTGGATATGACCCTTGTTTGGAGCCCCTTCCAGAGGCAGGAAGTAGAGCCTGCAACACCCACAGAGGCATAAGAGCTGGACAGCTTCTGATCCTCAGTGAGAGACATGAACAGAGCACACTGGCAACTGTGGCTGTCATCTGTGCACATGACAACCTTGACTAGAACCCATTTTGGGCCAACATGGAACCAGGCGTGGTGGTGTGGGGTGCCTGTGTTTACTGGTCTGGGAGAAGGGCCAGTAAACTACTGGAAATCCCATCTGGTCACAGCGCCTTTCCCACAGGTCATCGTGGAAGAGGGAGCGGAAGTAGCCAAGAATAGCTGGGGACCTGGGGGATCAGGATCATCGACTTGAGGAACACCAAGGTCAACTGGCACAATGTAATCCACAAAGACAATGTTCTACCATCTTACTTTTGTGAGTAGTGTCTGGAATTTTAAAAAACTTGTGAGTGGCCATCAAAGGAACAACTAACTACTGGTCTTTCCCTGTCCAGAGCAAAGAAGAGTAAAGAAAGACAAAGATACAAGGAAGCAATTGATCCAATGGACAATGTGAACCTCAGCTTCCATGACCCTGAGATCATAAGAACTAGATGGTGCCTAATACCATTGCTGACCACTCTGAAAGGAATCACAACAGGAGGTCCTGGGTATAGTGGGAGAAAAATATTAAAAAACTAAAAATCACAGGCCTACTAGTCACCAAGAGACTGGTAGAACCCCGAGACTATGGCCCTCCAACAACATTCAGTCCTGGAATGGAATTCACTCCAGTGGCTCAACTTGCCGCCACACAGACAGGCTATCAAGATGAACAGTAACACCAGGAAGGTCCACACTCCTTAGAACAACCAACCATACAAGATCAAAAGGGCAGTGTTTGCTTAGGGATAAAGCTTAGAGTGTGGGTGAGGACAGGAAAGATGGACAAATGGAAACAGTAAACACAGTGAGAAAGTAGGAAGACAGCTTACATTGTGGGGATTGCAATCAATGTCACATAACATGTGCAGGAGTTGTTGAATGGAAACCAATTTGTTCTGTCAATGTTCACTTAAATCACAATAAAAAAGTTAAATAAAATTAATAAATAAAAGAGTACAGAAGGGAGGAGGCCCCTAAAGTACTTCTGTAAGCTTCCACCTGAGTTAAATAAATAAAATAGATGTAGAGTCCCATGGACTTGGGAAGCTGGGGTGGGGTTTGCAAAAGTCGCAGGGGATCTGGGGAGCAGAGAGGAGAGGGTAACCATGACAACGTGGGGTGCCTCAGAAGCTTAGAGAACTGATGGGCAGAGAGGGGAGCCCTGTAGGCTTAGGGGAACAAGATGAAGGTGGGGGAACCCCTGGGAACTAGAAGAGCTAAGGAAGCTAGGGGAGAGGGAGCTCTGGTGGCTCAAGGAACTGAGGACTGTAGTTTGAAGGGCACTCATGCATACCAGGACACATGGTGGGTGAGAGTTCGGCAGAGAGAAGGAGTGAGTGGTCTGAGTATAGCCCCAGGGGGTCCCAAGCAGGCTGTCAGAGTGACCAGGATAAGGATGTGCTGGGAGCAGGGGTGGTGGGCCATGCTCATGGCAATGGGGCATCACTGACTTTACTGACAAAGTGGAATGTGACAAGACTGCTGGGCATTTATAGAGCTCTCTGGTCTCAGCATGGAAGAGGGTCCTTGGGGACATGGTGGCAGCTGGGCAGAGGAGAGTAACACAGGGTAGGGGCAGGGGGCAAACTGTAAGGCCCAGCTGAGCAGAGAGTTAGCCAATCAGACAAGGAGGGAGAACAGAAGGGACAGTAGAGGATGCTGTGAAGGGCTCTGCTCCTATCAAGTCCCTGGGAGGCTGGTACAGGCATGAGCTGGATAGGAGATGGGGCTGGAGGTGATGGAGTAGGCCAAGTGAGGGTCTGGGAGGGGGAGTGAAGCCCCAGGAGATGAGTGGCAGCAGAGAGGTTGGTGAGACCAGAGCAGCAAGGGGATCAGCAAAGTGTTACTCAGATAAAACTCAATCACTATGTCAGATGTGGGCAACAGGCCACACGGGACAGAGCTCAATCCCTGAGGGGAAGAAAAGTTGAAAGGGAACAGAATCCTTCTGCAAGGGACAGCGCAGGAGGGAAGAGACGCTTGCAGGTCACAAAGTGGCCAGGTCAGGGGAGGAGGTCATGGGGATGGAGGAGTTGGAACCATGCCAAATGGCCAAGAAGAAGTCACTGGGCAGGGCTACTGGAATGCCAAGATACACAGAGCCTCTAAACAGTCCCACATCACCCTTGAGCTGCTGGGTCCCTACCTCCCTGTGAAGTCTTCCCTGATGCTCCTCCTGGTACCCTAAAGCTGCTCTCCCAGGGCAGACCCATTGACTCATCTGTCTGTCCTCAGTATTCAGGAGCAACAGGGAACCTTCCAACAGCCCACAAAGGCCAGGTGCTGTCCCCTGGGGCCGGTGTTCTTTATTAAGTCTAGTGACAGTTTTAGGAACCCACCACTATGAATTGTTACTAAGTGCTATCTAGTTGTTTCAGACTCACAGCAAGCCTGCATAGGGTTTCAGAGGAGCAGCTGGTGAGCCTGAACTGCTGACCTTCAGTTCAAACTAGCCTTTTGGTCCAGTGTTTTTCCCACAGCACCACACTAGGACTCCAATGGTAAACTTCGTTATATTGTTGTTAAGTGCCATCGAATCAGTTCCAACTCGTAGCAACTCTGTATAGGGTTTCCGAGGAACAACTGGTGGGTTTTGGGTTTGAACCACAGACCTTGTAGTTTGAAGTCCAGTGCTTACCCTACAATGCCACCAGGAGTCCCGCTATAAATTAGCGGTGTTTTAAAATAAGAAGGTGGCTATCCACTGAGTAGTATGCAATCAGTCTGGGTGGGGCTGATGAAAGGAGATGGGGATAGGGCTCCTGTCGTACAGTAGTGAATAAATGCTATCAGGACTGACTGTGAGCGTTGGAAATGTAAAGGTAGACATTTTGTAGCAAAACGAAGGGCGTGGTTAACTTTGCAGTCCAGGAATGGAGGTCCCAAGGACCATCAAGGGAGAAGAGCAGAGTGCGGAACCCTACCCAGAGAAACAGTGACGCCAGAGATGGAGGCAGAGACGATGGCATGGAGAGATGGAGCGGCTGGGGACTCTAGATCCAGAGAGAGGGGCTGTGTGCTGACAACTGAAGGGCAAACTTGCGGGGTATACCCTTTGGTTGTTTTAGGATGCATGGAGGGGATTGTAATCATGGCAATTAAACAATATAGGATGAATGTAAAGCTAACGTTCTCCCATGTAAACTATCACATAATTCACAATAAAAACTTAAAAAAAAAATAAGGTGGGTTGATGAGAGAAGCTTCTTGAACTGTCTTGAAAAACTACCAGTCAGAGGAAGAGAAGCAAGCTCCCCTCCACACCCCCACCCCCGCCCCCTGGAGACTGGTGAGGACAATTGAGGTTTCCTGTTAGAGCAGGGGAGGAGATGCCTATCCTCTGAGGTCACAAGTGGCTTCCAGAAGCCCACCCCTGCCATCACGCTGGGGCCAGTTTTTGGCTGCACAGATGCAGCAGACAATGTTGGCTTCGGGCCACCATATCCTGAGTTCAGACACCCCACCCATCTCAACAATTTGTGTGCATCTGGGGAATCCCACCTATCCTGGGGGGTGAGGGGGGGTGTCTCTGTATCATGAGAACTAGCTCCACTTGAGTCCCTCCAGAGTAGGACTCTTAGAATCCTACTAAGTGGTGACAGGGTCGAAGTACCAAAAAGGCTTGTTCTGCTGATGGAGGGGCCTCTAAGAAGGTAGAAACACACACACAACCACTGTGTGGGGCCCACACAGCTCAGGAACCTGAGGTAGCAACACAGAACCTCTAGCACCACAAGGAAAGCCAGGACCTGAGCCACCACAGCCTGGTCTCTGGACATTCCTACAGACTATCCTATTTATCATTCAAAGGAGGAGCCCTGGTGGCGCAGTGAGTTGCAAGTTGAGCTGCTCCCCCGAAGGTTGGTGGTTCAAACACACCAACCACTCCTCAGAAGAAACATGAAGCTGTGTGCTTCCCTCTCAAGATACCCTAGGTAGCAGACCTCCTCTGTGGATCAAGACACCAGAGCACCCTCAGCACAAGCTGGTCTGTGAGTGCACAAGCCAGAACCCGTGAGAATGGATGAACAGATATATTGGGGGAGGGGGGGAGGGTAGCTGTGACAGGTAACATGCCAGGCTCTCATGTTTATGCCATGACACAATGATGAAGACCCATGTGTGTGTGTGTGAAAAATAATAATAGAGAGGAACAAAATAAATGAAAGCAAGTTGACTAGGGAGATTGGAACCAGACTCTCTTGACACTACATTCACTTCCAGGGACTTTAAGCGGTTTTCTAGTGTATTTCTAATTCCTCTGGGTCCACAAAGCCGTGGAGCTCCCAGGGCTAGGAGTAGTGAGCAGGGCGACTGTCCCCTAAGGTCTGCCAGCCCCAACCCTTTGGGTTCAGGCCTACAGCTCTGCTTGACAGACCCTTCTGGTCACTGCCTCCCTGAGCTTGCTCCACCTCCCACAAGTCCTCTTTGTTCCCTGCTTTTTGCTTGCCGCAACACCTCCACCAGAACCAGAACTCGATTGCCCTGGGGTCCGTGCCTGGGCCCATGCGTCTGCTTGGCCCAGGCCACCCTGGAAGTGGGCAGGTCATTGGGCCTGCTGCTGCCATTGCCTGAGCCACCCTCCTCCTTACCCCTTCCCATCTGTACTCTGTAACGCAAAACCCCAGACCCCTTCTCCTGCTGGGAGCGGAGACTCTCTAGGGACCTGGCTGTGGACACAGTACACATGGCCCTAGTCCCCAACTCTCCCTTCTCCCATCTGGAACTCTCTCATTGACCAAGACTCTGGGCTACTGGCTGGGCCTGACTTTCCCCCAACAACCCTCAAGCTCCTCGACAATGAAAATGGGAAGGGTCTTCACCTGCACCCAGGGCCCTGTCAGGGGCTCCAGTGTGGACAAAGGAATGGGGCTTGAAGGCACTGTGATCCCCCAAGCACTGCCTGCCTCAGTTACTCCCTCTGTGTCTTCCTTGCCCCTGCTTGGCTCAGCAGGTCTGTGGTCCAGCGCCGGATACTCCAACAGAGGGAGGGTTTGCCTTGCATGCCAGCTGTCTGGAAATTAGTTCCTGGATGCCAAACAGAGTCAACAGCCTGTCTGTACCCTGCTGCCTGACACTACAGAGCTAAGCTCATAGTGGCAAAGTGGTACAGTCAACTTTCTGTACAAAGTGAGACTGAAATCCTTTGAGCTGGGTCCCGGCTCCTCCCACGTGGGCACCCAGGTGTGTGGAGACAGAGGTGACACCCACAGATGAACTCACCAGGAACACAGATGTGCCAGAGTATAGGGGGCGGGTAGGCAGCCTGGAGTCTGTGGACAGGCCGAGGGACTGGCCAGCACGTAGGGGCCCTGGAGCAGTCACATCACTGCTTGAAAGGGTTTGCAGGTGGGCCTGAGGGTGATGCTGGGAATGGGGTCACGGTATACCCCTCAGGAGAGATTAGGTTCCTAGACATCGTGTGGACTGGCTCCAAGGCCCTGTAGTTGTCTGGGTGACGATCAGAGAATGGTCAATTTGCTGTTTAGGAGGACACTTGTGGACTAAGAGGGAGGAGAACATCCAAAAGGATGTTAGTGATCCTATAGGACAGAGTTGAACTGTTCCTTAGGGTTTCCAAGACTGTCAATATTTACCGGAGCAGACTGCCTCATCTTGCTTCCTTAGAGCAAGTGGTGGGTTCAAAATGCCAATGTTACAATTAGCAAGCAGCCCAAGTAACCCACTGTACCACCAGGGCTCCTTCACCCAGAAAGTGTCTCTGCTTCCTCATCTGTAAGTCAGGGGGCAGCCACAAGCAGCCATGGTACTGTGCTAGCCCTGATCTGACTTAACTCACTGGATCTCAGCCTCCCAGATGTTCAGCATTGCAATAGCAGGGAAGTAGGTGACGGAAGTGACATAGGCTAGGAGAATTCACTGATGGCAGTTATGGTCCTAGCTGATGGGATGGAGAGGCACCCACTGCCCCTCCCCAGTGGGAACCCAATCTACCTGTTGCCCAGGAAGCTCAGTGACAGCTCGGCCAGCTCGCCCTGTACTTCCTCCAGGCTCAGTGCCACCCCTGGGGCCTTCCACGGCAGAGGGCTCTCTGGGTGTGGTGGGGCTGGAAAGTCCTGCAGGAAGGTGTCCAGGAATGCTTGGGTGTCCTCCGCATCGCCAGCCTCCTGGCTGCTCTCTTGAGGAGTACGAGAGGCCATCCTGAGGGCATCCCGGGCTTCCACGTTGGCTGGGTAGGCAGGCTTCTGGCTCGTTCCACTCTAGGTTCTATAAAGAAACAGAGTCAGCAGATACAGATACTTGTGGCACCTGGTACTTCTGGCTCTTTTGGATCATGGTGGACCCAGGTCCTGTCTACTCCCTTTACTCTCAGGCAGAACTGGTAGACGTTGTGCAAAGAAAGGTTAGGCCTTAAGGCAGAGGGTAGAGGTTGCAACTCACATCTTGGGTAAAAGGGACAACCTGGGCCTGTGGGGTCCCCTTGAATGCCTGAGAGGTGGTCAGAGGAGGAGCAGGAGTGGGTTGCTGGGGCAGGTTACTGATGGCAGGCAAAGTCTGCTTCTGGGGATCTAGGAGGGCTCTGTGGTGTGGACACAGTACTGTGGGGTCCAAGACAGCTTAAGGGGAAGAACAGGGACCTAGACAGATAGGAGACAAATGGAACAGCTGTCTGGGAGGCAGGCCTGGAAGGGAATGCCCAGGTTCTCCGGTCTCCTGATGGCCTTGCAGGCCTCAATGTGGGAGAGGTAGAGATCGGACCCAGGGTTGTGGGAGTGTTTTCAGGACATGACCAAGCCTACTACATCCTCTCTGATAGGTAGAGGGTCGAGAATTTTGAACTGTGCAGGCTGGAAGAGGCCCAGTGGATGGTGGGGCAGCCCCCAGAATGATGTGGCTCCACTGTCCAGCCAAGCCCCTGCCTTGACCATCTCCATTTGGCATCCCAAGATCCGTCAGAGCCAGAATGAGCACCCTGTTTTGCAGATGACATTGAAGCTTGTGAGGGAGAGGGGAATGGAGTGTCCTGAGCACTTTTCTCTTCACTCTGTTCTTGTCTCCCGACAAAGTAGGTGTATTCTCCTAGAGAAGAATCCCCAATCCAGGTGCCAACCATCACCTCAGGTACCCCAACAGTGCTCTTCGCAAGCTGGCCTCCTTGCTTTCCCTGGTTACCACACCCTCTGGTTCCCTGGGCTAGTGATGGCCAAGGAGAAACTTTGCTCCCGTTTCTCTCCCTCACTACCCTCTATCCCCAAATCAGCTCTAGATTATCCCCCTTCCTCTACCTCCACACTCTCATTGGCTGGCTGCATCCTTCCACTCTGCATCGCTGCAGCTGGGCCACCTCACAGTCTAGTGTTGAGGACTTCCTACCATGTCCTTCAAAAATGTGTCTTGGAGTCCCAACCTCTATACCTATGCATATAATCCTGCCCGGAAATAGGGTTTCTTAGTTATAGTAATAAGATCATATCAGTATAGAGTGGGGGTGAACCTATTACTTTAGAGTGGCTTATAGGGCAGCAGAGGCCATGGACTGCCAGAATAACAAACAAATCTGTGTCAGAAGAAATACAGCCAGAATGTAAATTTTGTCTCACATATTTTGGACATGTCATCAGGAGGGGCCAATATCTGCAGAAGGGCATCATGCCTGATAAAGTAGAGGGTCAGTGAAAAAGAGGAAGATTCTCAATGAAATGCACTGACATAGTGGCTGCAACAATTGGCTCAAGCATAGCAATGATGGTGAGGATGACAGTGTCTTGTTTTGTTGTACATGAGTCTGAGTTGACTTGCCAGCACCTAACAACAGATACAGAGAAGCAAGCACAAATGGGGAAAAGACAGATTGCCAATGAATGTTGGGGCTAGAGAAGCAGAGACAAAGATCCTTCCCCAGAGAGGACAGAGAGAGCAAGAACTGGTCCTCTGAATTCAGGTTTCTAGCTTCCTATATGGTGAGAGAATAATTTTGTGTGTTAAAGCTGCTCACCTGTGGTATTTTTATTACAGCAGCTCTAAGAGACTAAGACACATGTTAGTTTGAGTATATCAGTCCCCACCAACCTCCCACATGGATCACTGGGGTTGAAAGGGTCATGCCTGGGTATAGAAGACCCTACTCTGTCCCTGATCTCCTTTGGACCAGGCACTCTTAGGCCCACTATGGGGCCCAGAACCATTCTTGGCCAGCACAGTTGCCTGTTCTGCAGTCATGACATCATATTGGCACCCTCCAAGATCCCCTAAAACCTGGGCTGGAGAACTTCCTTTGGGAACAAGACCCATAAATCCACCACAGTGTTTCTTTAAGGTGACAAATTGATTTGAGAGCCCAAGGGTACAGAGAAGGCAGAACCCAGGAGGGAATCTTCTAGAACCATCATTTTCCAATGTTGATGGACTGAGCCTTCTAACTTTACCAAAAGAGCAGCCACAGATAAGGTGGTATTAAAGGATGAAGATACTACCATCTGCAAAGTTGGCTGATTGAGCCTCCCCAGAAGCACACTGGAAGACAGACCTGGCGCTCTGTATCTAAAAGGTGGGGCAGTTTTACTCTGCACATATGGGGTCATCACATCATAAGAATTAGTTTAACAACAACCATCTTTTACTGCTTAGGGAAGGGCTATCATATTTCAGCATCAACTTAATAGTCTTCTGAAAGCAGGATTTGGAGAGGAGGAAAGGGCGCTAAGTTAAGAAAGCACAAACCTCTCTATAAACTGGCATCTAAAGTTAAGCTTCTCCCTAGAAGTTATTGGCGCCAAGTGCTGTTGAGTGGGTTCTGACTCACAGCGATCATTACCTACAATAGAACGAAACACTGCTCCATATTGTGCTATCCTCAGTGGTTTCTATAGGGGATCATCTTCTGGCGTTTTAGCAGACAATGTTCTGCTGCTATACACAAGGTCTTCAGTCACTAGTTTTTTACTGTCTTTTCCTTCTTCCTAGTCTGTCTTAGCCTGGAAGTTCCAAGAAACCTGTCCACCATAGACAAACCTGCTGATATTTTAAATACCAGTGACATAGATTCTAGTTTCACAGCAGCATGCAACAGCACAACAGCTACAGTACAACAGACTGACAGACAAATAAATATACAGAGAGGGACATTTTTTTTATTGAAGGAAGAAGCCCTGGTGGCACAGTGGGTTAAGCATGGGGAAATGTCAATCCAAGAGCTAATATTTTGAATCCACCAGCTGCTTGCAGGAGAGAAAAGTGAGGCTGTCTGCTTCTGTAAAGATTCACAGTCTCAAAAATTCTATGGGGCAGTTCTACCCGCTCTAGGGTCACTATGAGTTGGAATCCATTTGATGGCAGTGGGGTTTTTGGTTTGGGATCTTGGGATACATTTAACTTTATTAATTTTCACATTTTCTTACATGTAGAAGTAAATAAACTAGCATAAATTACCCAAGGTGAACAGCTGCTGTTAGCTCCCACTCATGGCAACTCCCTAAAAAGAGCTGTGCTCTATAAGGCTTTCACAGCTATGAACTCTCAGAAGCAGATCTAGTCTCTGGGTGGACTCAAACTATTAACCTTTCAATTAGTGACCAAGTGTGTGCACTGCACCACTCAAGGATGTTTCCTTCAAAACCAGACACCAAATCCAGAATTCTGACTCACAACGACCCTATAAGGCAGTAAAACTGCTATTTAGGGTTTCTAAGGCTGTCTTTACAGCAGCAGACAGGTTCATCTTTCTCCCCTGGAGAGGCTGATAGCCCAATGCCACCAGACATCTTGTTGCCTTAGATGTTGCCTAAAATAGTCCAGGCAACATGAAGGGCAGTACAGACAGGCCTCAAAGCCAGGCAATCTCTGAAAGGAGTTCTCCAAGTGAACCTGCTGGCAGGTTTACAGCTTTCAGAGTAGCATTTTTCTTTCTCTCACAAAACCATGATGAGACGTATTCACTATTACATTCATGTTGCAGATGGGGTAGTAACCCACCAAAACAAAACACAGGTAAGAAACGGCAAAACCAATAGGCTAGGTGGTACAAGAGGTTAATGGGTTAATGTGCCCTGGCTGCTAATAAGTCCACCAGAGGCATCTTGGAAGAAATTAGCCACTGCAAATCCCAATAGAACACAGTGCTACTCTGATTCACTGGGGGTTGGCAAGCGGCAGAGTTGACTCTGGATATGGTGCCTTTGTCATTTTTTACAAGAGTGAAATTTGGATGGCGGATATGTGCAAAAAGATCAGCCATCGGTGGAGATGAGCTCAGAGTTAGACTCTCAGATTCTGTCCTTCTTGGTGGGGGAGCCCAGCCCAGACACAGAGCTGTCCCTGAAATTCAGAGGAGGTGGGTGGGAAGAAGGGATTACCAAGAGGTCTACCATTACTGACTGCGCTAACACGCCTGGGCATATCCCTCTTCACTCAGAGATTAAGGGGCTTCCCTGCACAGGATCGCTGAGTTGGAACAGACTCAACGGCACAATAACAACAACTTGAGGTTACATGGATATGTGGTGGCGCTGGTTCACCTCGCAATGTGGTGAACACACGCCTCATATACATATGGGGGTCAGGGCAGTGGGCTCCGGCCCAGATGCTGCAGGGGAGGAGATGGGGGAGGTCCCGGGCAGACAGGAACAGCCGGTCGGATGGGGGCCCTGGGCAGATGGCGGCGGGAGTACTTCGGTCCGAAGAGGTGGGGGAACCCCATTTGGTCTCCCGGTCCTCGTCTCCCCCTAGACCCAGAGCTTGGCCACGCCCCACTGGTTGGGCGAACCTGTTCTGTGCCTTGGCTTTCCAGGCCCCCAATTCTTTGACTCGAGCAGCTGCGACTCCCACTCTGCTCCTTAGTCCCCGACCTCCGCCCCAGACATTTGGATGTCCCACCTGACCTCCCCATCCCGCCCGTGCGTGTTTAAACACCCCCCCCCACAGAGTCCCCAGGCCCTCATCCCGGCCCTTCAGCCCCTAATCTCGCCCTGACTTCCGCACCACAATCCCACAGCCTCACCTGCTCTCCGGTCGCTCCACGACACTAGCAGCTCTGTCGGCCCCACCCACTTCCCGTCGCGGCCTGCAAGGAATAGCGCAGGCGCAATCGGGCATGACAGATGCTACCCCCTGGCGGCCACCACTGGGAGTATCGCGTGGAGCCGCCGTCATCGGAATTTCCAAATGCAGCTTCAGACCTTGGATGCTCACTGCCGAGGGAGGAGCAGCGGTAACCTCTATCCCTCAGTACCCCTAAATCACGCAGCTTTCACAGGTTAACAGCCGGTGACTGCATGCAGGATTGCAAATCCACCAGTAGGATACGGACTTTCAGGTCCAGGTGCCATGGTTTGGGGCCCCCATAGTGTTGTGGGGGGCTGTCCATTGCCTATTACTGCTGTGATAAATCATCACATGTATGGGGGCTTAATATAATGCAAATTTATCATAGTGCAGTTCTGTGGACCAGGTCTCACTTGGCTCTCACCAGGTTAAGGTCAAGGGGTGTGTACGTGGGGGCTGGTGCTTCTAGAGGTGGCCGAATTTCTTGGCCCTTCCCTTCATCTCCAAGTCAGCAGAATCTGAATCCCTATTCTTATTGCCTTCTGATGGACCCTTGAAATTACACTGGTGTCTGTGAGTGCTGCAATAATTAGGATGCTCACTGCTGAAAAATGGGAGGTTCCAATCCACCTAGAAGCACCTCAGAAGAAAGACCTGGTAATCTGCTGGAAAACCAGTCACTGAAAACCCCATAAAGCACGCAGTTTTATGCTGACAGTAACCATGAATCAGGGTTGATTTGTTGGCAACTGGTACTGGTTTGGTAAAGCCAGGGACTTAAGAGAAACAGCAGTTGATGGAGCTGAAAGAAATCATTTTAAAAGCAGGGGTTGTCTGGGCTCATCTGTCTTCTCTGTTATTCATCTTTCCCCAGCTCTTGCAACCTGCTGTCAGCATGCTGGCTTTGAGCAAGGCTTGGGGCTATTTCTTAAAATGTTGCTGAGCTCTCCAGAGCTTTAGTCATCTTACCAGAAATGTAGGGGCACAAACAGCATAGGGTTGTTCAAGCTCACCAGCCCCTCCTTGGAAACCGTATTCAGGTTTGCCATGGGTTGGAACTGACTTGATGCTACTTAAAAAAATCTAAACTCATTGGCGACTTGGGAGCTCCACTTCAGGGTTCTAGGCCAGTCTGTGGTCGATGTAGGAGGGCATGCTGGAACTGCATCAGTGTTATGTGTAGTGGGGTTTAGGGAAAGCTGTAACCTCTCCTGCTGGAAAGGGAGGCATTTTTACACATCTGCAGCTCTTCAGAGTTGATTGCTTTTGGGGCTGCAGCCCAGGTAGACAGGGCCATTCTCTGGGCTCATCGCTTGCAGAGGATGTGCCTGGGGCTACACCTGCCCTGTAGTGCCTTCATCCCTCCCACTTCACATCCTCAGAGAAGGACGTTGTCTCTTGCCATCATCGTTCAGCGGACACTTAAGTCTGTGCTGAGCCCTGGCTCCCAACTACCTAAGATACCACTCTCCCAGGTGTCTGGTCTGGAATCCTATGCTCCCTCATTGTGTTCTGGCTGTCACCACCACCTCCCTCCCTTCCACTCATCAGATAGTCACATGGCAATGGTTCATACTGCTCTTGGCTTTCCAACCACCAGAGATAACCATGGGCCCAGGGGAAAGACTCCCCCCCCCCATGCTGCATTCTAGAAGGCCTTCTGCTGTTGCTCTTCATGTCACAAAAGGAGGGAGCACGCCACCTAATTGAGTAAACATATGCTACCACCACTGGTTGTCCCAAGGGCACCAGTCTGTGTCTGGCCAATCTAGCTACCTTGAGACTAGAGGCCTTGTCTGGGGGGGGGGGGGTTTGTCCTGTGCCTCTCCAAGCCTGTGGCCCTACCTTAGTCACTGGCCATTATCCTCCCCAGCCCTAAGGGCACTGGAAGGCAGCACTGACATAGTGCAGGCCTCTGGTGTTTCTTGTGCCCATGAACATAGGGGGCCCTAGAGGTACCTCTGCATGGGGGCCAGCAGGAAAGGCAGACAGGTACTTGGCGCATGAGTGAAGAACTTGAGGTCAGCATTTAAGTTCTGAATCTAAACTATCCTGGTGTGGTGCTGTGGTTCAAACTGACCCTAGACTGCAGGGTCAGTTTGAACCACAAGGCCAAGGGTTCAAGCTCACCAGCCGCTCCTTGGAAAACCTATTCAGGTTCGCTATGAGTTAGAACTGACTTGATGCCACTTAACAAAATCTAAACTCATTGGCGACTTGGGAGCTCCACTGCAGGGTTCTAGGCCAGTCTGTGGTCGATGTAGGATGCTGCTCATGGCCATTGGAATCAAGGAATCACAGCATGTGCAGGACTCTCTCCTCACTGGCATGAGTGGCCTGGTCACTGTGCTGCGATCTGACTGGAAGGATGGAAGAGTAGGAGGTGGCCCCACCTGGAGAAACTCAGTCCCTAAACCTTTAAGGTTCCCCAGACACCTTTTGGTCTCAATGCTTTATAAACAGTATTCCAGGGAACACTAGGTTTGCTGAAGGGAACTGACAGAAATTCTGGTGGTAACACTGGCTCATTGAAGGCAGTAATCAAAGTACTCACCTGCCCCCATGTAAAGTGAGTCTGCACCACGAGGAGACTGTGTGTAGCAGCCAGGGATATTTGCACGGGACCTCATTCCTGCTACCACAAAGGCAAGGTTTGAGGGTATGTGGCTGCCCCCGGCAGCGAATGTGTACAGGTCAGATGGTGGTCAACCACCACCACCTAGGATCCTGGGGTCTTTTTTAACTCTGGCATGTATTTCTAGGGCACACTGTAGCTTGTCATGGCAGCCCCCAACTCCCTCCTGTGTTTCATGACAACCAAAGACACAAAGGTCTCCGGGAGGGGCTGACACTGGTGCCAAGGGGTCCCAGGAAATGCCTGTCCCAAGCCTCAGAGGTCTGTAGTATGAATACAGTATGACGATCTGGAGAGCTGAAAGCCATGAAGGGGGCTGAGGGGAAAGCAAAGGCTTTTGGAGGCCGAGATGCTATCCCAAGACACAGAGCACACACAGAGGAGTGTGGGTGGGGTGTGGACAATTCTCATGGCCTACCACCCTTACCAGGTGTCAGGGCTGGCTCCCACTAATGGATATATTGAATATGTCTCAAACTGCTGACCATATCTACTTTGTCTCCAGACGTGGGCTGCCCTATTGATCCTGCACAGGCTGGGCAGAGTGGTAGGTATGGTGGTGGTGGGGGAACCACAAGACTTGAGTTCAGGATTTAAGGAGAATCAAGGATGGGTGAGTGAGGGGAGGAGACCAGACAGGGAGAGAAGAGGAGGAAAAGGGCCATCAGCCCCCAAGGACACATCTAGCCGGAGCCATTTTTGCTCTGGGAGAAAACTCATTTTAATGGTTTCAGTGCCTGAAAGATACCTGTGGCCAGGGGGCTAATCCATCACTGGCCCTCATACAAAGTAGGCGGCCAGTGCTGACATCTTGTCCTTTGGCCGCCGGGGGCCAGGCTTGCCCAGGGGCCGGCGACCACGAGCCCGCCCTCGGCCCTGTCTACGGCCAGGACCCCCTCGGTGCATGGGGTGACAGGCGGCTGCGTGTTTTAGCTCTACCAGCTCCTGGAAGACTGGGTCACAGAAGACACAGCCTGTATGCTGGGTCTCGCCGCCAGGCAGTGGGGACTTGGCCTTGTTGAAGTCCACGTCAAGCAGGGCAGCCTCACAGGTCCTGCAGGTGTCTGCTGCCACACGCACACGGTGGGCATTCTCAAAGCAGTGTGCCACCACATTGCACCGATTGCAGGCAACCTTCCACTTGGGGCCTGAGGTGGGGTCCAGCACCAGTACGCCATTTTCACACTCCACACACTGGCCAACACCCAGCATGCTCAGTGAGTGCTGGCAGGTGGGATGTGTGCACTCATTGCAGCCCATGCCTGAGGGGGACAGGATAGGAAGTAAGGGTCCATAGTGCTTCCATCTCACCTCCCCATAGCCAGTCCTCCCACTGCAGCCCCTGGATGCCTCAGCCTCTTCAGGGTCCCTCATTTCAGCAGAAAATACTCCTGTCTTGTCCTGGAGTATGGAAGACCCACCCTCGTCTGTGTCTCTGGAACCCTCTCTGCCCTCAGGACCCCACCGAGGCAAACACCAGTCTCAGTCCCTTGGTCCTTCTGATGTACTTTCATAGCTCATAGAGACCAGCAGCTCCACAGGTCCACACATCAGGGCCAGTTGCCCTGGAAGCTGCTAGAGGGGAGAGAGGAGCCTCACCCGGCAGTCTGGACATAGGTTGAATTCACAGTGAAGGTCAAGTGCCCACCCACTCTGTGGCTTCCTCCTGTCCCCCAGAGAAACAGGGACAATGTCTGGCTCTTGTTGGCCTCTGGTGCCTCATCTGCAATGTGGGGTCAAGTGGAGTGCAAAGGGGAGTGGGCAGGTTCCTAAATAGCTTCTGGTCCTGGTGGGGTTTTCCCACTGCTTGGTTTCATGTTCCTTCTCTCAGATAGAGCACATGAACACTTGAGAAGAGTGAATCCGGAACCTGGGTGGGCACCTGGTCTGTTGCACTATCTTTGCTCCAACGAAGGTAGGTACCTCATGCCCTCTGGCTCAGATGCTGAGCACATGCAGACAGATGTTGCTGTTCAGTTACTACCTATAATTAGCTTTGCTCCAGCGAGCTCTGGGAAGGATGGTGGACAGGTCATGAGCCTCTGCCTCAGGCTGGTGACCACAGACCCCGAGAGATGCTCACCTTTCTTCATGTCTCGGAAGGGGGGGTGGTTGTAGCAGTAGGGGCACAGCGGATAACTCTTGCCCCGAGAGCCAGATGACCACAATACTAGCTCAAAGTCGTCCAGTGGGCACCGGAGCTCCTTGTAGAGCTTGATGGTGCCATTCTGAGGGAGGGTGTACGTCTCATCGCAGTGAGAGCAGTGCAAGCGACTTGGCTTGGCCTGTGCGGGAAATATGGCAAAGTGGGGTAGGAGTTTGCAGGGGCCACCCTTCCTTCCCCATTCTGGCTCCCTTTCTGAGACTGCAATACAGGTGTTCAGTTCAGGCACCCAGCCTGCCATCTTGGGACCTCTGCCGCCACTGCTCCTGCTGAAACGGAACTTCTGTCTTCACATGCACATTAGTGCCAGTGGCTGTGCCTGAAATGTGTGTATTGTGCGTCTGGTTGGCTCAAAAGCTCAAGAGTTCCTTGGGGGTGCTTGCTGGCAGGGCTGCATCGGGCCTGCAGTAGCTCTTGTGGAGTCATCGGGGAAAGGAACACTTCCTGGGTGAGTGAAAAGGACACACAGGCTGTTGCCCCACCTACCTGGATATACTTCATGAACCTGTGGCACTTCCCGCAGCGGGAGAGGGGCTTGCCAGTGGCGGCCAGGGGTGAGAAAGACACCTCCATCAACTCGTCCATACCTGTAAGAAAACAGAGCCCAAGGGAGGGCTGCATCTGGGAAGTACTGTGATGGGGCGGGGGACCTCTAGCTCAGGGCTTGGGTGGGCAGAGGAGTCGGGTCAGGGAAATGGGCAGACCGCTAAAAGAGTCCCTCATCTTAGGGAATATGTGAAGAGGATTAAAAAAAAGTTGGTGGAAAATGAAATTAAAGAAAATAGTTTTTCCATGACCTTTTGGAAGCCCCTTTGTACATAGCGTCCCTTGGTAGGAGTGAGTACAGTCTCTTGGGGGAGCATACAAGGAACAGTTCCCTTGGATAAGCAGATGATCAATTTGGGGGGAAGCACATGGTTGGTGGGGAGCACAGACCCTTCAGGGGAGCACACACCCAATAGGGCTTTTGTGAGCAATGACAGAATGGTGAGCAGCCTGCTGGAAGTGGGTGTCCTGGGCCAGTAGGCCCCATGTGTGCTGTGGACTCTGAGCAGCAGCCTTGTCTGGTGAGGGGTGGCCACCTATATATTCAGAAGTGGGGCATACCAGCGATAGAGTCAACGAAGTAGTGGAACTTCCTCTTGAAGACATCCAGGGTGTGCCCCAGCACTTGGCGGTAGTCAGCCCTGCCATGGGCAATCAAGTTCAGCTGCTTCTCCACAGCGCTGCGGATGGTGGGGAGCACTAGCTCTGCATCTGTAGGGGGCACCAGGTGCAATGGGAGCCTGGGGCCCTAAGGGGCCACATCTCCTCCTGCTCCAGCTAGTCCCTAGCCCCTCACTGTCATCACTGGCAGAGCTGGATGGCACCAGGCTGGCTGCCACATTGCTTCTAGAACATTCCTGGTCTCCCTGCCACAGCCTTGTGCAGAGGAGTCTTCATGGAATGTCACAGGCCAGGCCCCCACTCCTGTACCCATTTCAGGGACTGTCCCTTACCCTGCTGGGTCCTCTGCATATGAGGGTCCCAGAGCAGGACCCTCACCTAGTACTGCTCTGGGATGCTAGGGAATGCTGTGAGGCCATGACTGCCAATCAGTGGAGTCAGGAACCCAGACAGCCCGACTCACCGATCTTGTAGTAGCCATGCACCAGGACAATGCCAAGGTTGGTAGGCTTGAGCCGGCGCCCACTCTCCACAGTGACATAGTTGCGCTGGCAGATGTTGTTGATGTGCACCGGGATGCTGGCATCCGTTCCTGGAATCCCCACCAAGGGCCTCAGTATCTGGCCCCTTCATCCACACCCCGTATGTGTGGTGACATACATTGTCTTGCTGACCTCAAGAACCGTTCGCAGATGTGTAGACTCAGAAAGGTTCAACTGCTCAGTTGAAGTCACAGAACTCACCCAAGTCTGGTCAGTGCAGCCTAGTCCGTGCACAAACAGGCTTGTCCCTACATCTCTGCCCTGTACATGCCCTCCTCCCCCAACTCCTGTACCCTGAGTAGCTTTTATTGTCCTTCTAGAGCTTGTCAATCAGGTTGGCCAAGGGGCTCTTGTCAGGGACCTTGAAATGATGTAGGGCTATCTGTTGTATACAGCCACACCTGAGGGCAAGGACTCATTGTACCCACCTTCCTGGAGAAGCATGCAGGTGGGCATCGGCAGTGCTTTGCTGGCCTCTGACTTGGGTGAGAACGCCCCATCCCAGGGGCAAGTCCTTCACACCTCTGACTGAAGCAGTGTCTAAGATAAGAGTTTCTCCTGACAGTCCTGGCTACCATGTGGGGGTGGAGAGACTCTGACTAACAGGGGTTTCCCTAGGCAGTCCTTGCCAGTGGGTGTGTAGCTCAGGCCCCTATGGGGCAGGATGCCCACCAATGCCATGCTTCTCCATGAGGGTGATGAGCTCGGCCTCTGTCAAGTAGTCGGGCGGGCTAGTCTGCTTCTCCAGCATCTTCACCTCGTTCACAGCAAAGGCATCACCGCGCTGGCAGGTGGGCAGACTCTCCTCAGGAGGCACACTTTGCCAGGGCATGATCTCTGTGAAGCCTACAGAAAGTGCCCCACCTCAGGGTTTGGGCCCAGCCAGAAAGGCCTTGTGCCCAAGCCCCAGGGTCTCTGTCTGCTGGTATCACCTGGGGAGAGGACTGTCTTCCCGGAGCAGGTGAAGTGCTCAGGTCCGATTTGGAAGGTGATGGTGCTCTGCAGGTACTTGCAGTCATAGCTCACTGTGGCAATGAAGTGTCGCGTGATGTACTCGTACAGCCGCCATGCATCGCCCCCTGCAATGACCACAATGGTCATGGCCATCCGACCCTCCCGTTGACTCACAGGACCCCTCCTGGAGGTCCTCAAGGCTCCGCACCCTTCCCTTCCATCAGGTATCAGGTCAGAGCCCTGGAAGGAAGGGGCCCAACCCTCCAGTAGGGGTTTCTTGCCACCATGGTCCCAGTTTCTCAGCATGCACAGCCCTAGCCAGTTGGTACACAGTCCCCACCCTTCACCCACATGGACCACTCTCTGGGCTCTGTCTTCCCACTTCTCCACATAACCAACGGTGCCTGCCACCATTTCCACAGAAGCCCCAGTTGTGTGTGTGTGCATCTTGTACCCAATTCGGCCTCTGTGGCTGCCTTCATAGGGGTAATGGGGGGGTGGTCACCAGCATCATGGCCTTTCCGTGGGCGGTTGATCCCTTCTGCTAACAACTGTTTCACCTGGGAGAGAGGAAAGAGGACCTAGCAATGCCTCAGTCTGGCCTCACTGCTTTTCTACCAGGGACAGGTACTGCCGTTTCTGGTCTGGCACTGGGCCATCTAAATAAAGGTTCAAGTTCAGCTCACTCACCACATAGGTCTGGGGAAGGGTTGTTGTGGTCTCAAGCCCACTGACTGCATTGGCTGGGGGTCACGGTGTAGGTGGGCTTTTGATTTTACTCACTGTGTTGGCCCAGTATGGGTGATTGGCTTGCTGCCGCAAAGGGCCCTTCAGGTCAAAGTTCTCAGGGTAGTGTGTGGTCTCAGTACGTGGATAGCTGATGTATCCCTGTGTGTAGAGGCGCTCTGCGGTCTGCATGGCATGCTGTGGCCCCATGCCTATAGTAGACAAAGGCCTGGATGCTGCCCAAGTTCCCAACTACCACAACCACCACGTGCTGCCAGCTGATTAGAGGTCCCACCTCTCCAGCCCAGCCTCTCTTAGCACTGTGGAGGCAAGAGCCCGCAAACAAAACAACTTCCACTCTGCTTCTAAAGATGTTTAGGAGATAGGTCCTGCTTACTGGTCCATGCCATTGCACCTGGGGACCCATAGCAGGTGGCCCCTCTTGGAGATTAAAGAACATTATTGCTGCTATTGCTAATATGTAATGTTTATCACAAGCCATAGGGTTTTCATTAGCTAATTTTCAGAAGCAGGTCACTAGCCTTCCTTAGTCTGTCAGTTTTGCTGAAGTTTGTCCATCATGGGCGACTCTTGAAATACTGGAGGTATAGCTTCCAGCATCACAGCCACATGCATGCCCCACAGTATGACAGACTGACGGATGGAAGATGACATTATGCCAGGCTATCTTATTCCTTTATGTTGCATTTCCATTCCTATTTAAGGAATTTTTAAATTTTCATTTTTTTTCTTTCATTACCCAGTAGTTTTAAAGCAGGGTGTTAGTTAATTTCCAGATGTTTGATTTTTTTATCCCCACTTGATTTTCCTATTGTTTATTCTAATTTATTGTGACCTGAGACGATGCTTTGTAGTATTTCAGTGTTGTAAAATTTATTGAGGCTTGCTTGTTATCTAATGTATGGTCTCTGCTGGAAAATGTTCCATGTGTGCTGTAAAAGATGGTATAGCACACTGTATTTGGGAGGAGTATTCTGTATGAAATCAAGTTGGTTGACTGTTGTTAAAAAAAAACTAATGCAGTTTACTATTTTATAACTCAAACCAGTCATGTGGAGTGACTGGTGGATTTGAACCACCAACCTTATGGTTAGCAGTACCATGCTTAACCCAGAGTGCCAGCAGGTCTTTTTTTTTTGCAATATGACACAGGCTATGTTTTCCCACATCAATCCAGAGTTGCTGCTGAGTGAGTGCTAACTGACAATTCTGTGTACTGGATCCCTACCTCATATTTGCAGTGACTGGCCATGCTCCAGAACTGGGGCCCTGGGTAATACAAAGGGTTTGATCTTGGCTGCTGAAAGATTGGTGGTTTGAACCATGGAAGAAAGTCCTGGTGATCTGCCTCTATGAAGAATGCAGCCATGAAAACACTATGTGGCAGTGTGAGTCAGACAGGGAGGATGATCAGGAATTGGAATCGACTTGAAGGCAATGGCTTTGGTTTTTCTCTGGGATATGATGAGAACTGCAACCTGTACAAGGTTTGGGTTCCTTCGAAGTCACACCCAGACTGGACAGTGGTGCTCGGAGTTGGACTGCTGGCTCCTTGTCATATGCCCAGGGAATTCACTGCTGATGATGAATGGGGCCATGTGCCTAGCCTATAAATCTTTTGGGGACCTCAGAGGCGTGCCCCTACATACCCAGAGAAGAGCTGGCCACCCGCAGCATCTCGACGGTGTTCAGGGCCAGGGGCCTTTGCTTGGCCTTCTCCTTCTTGCTGGTGGCCTTCACCTAGAGGACAGGAATCAGCATATGGGCAGAAGGCCTGGCTCATCTATTAGGCTACCCACCTCTCACAGAAGTCTGAAAAGTGCAATTTATTCAGGACTGTTGTTGTTGTTATGTGCTGTGGAGTCGGTTCTGACTCAGCGACATAGCGACCCTGTACAGGGTTTCTGAGCTGTAAATCTGTACGGGAGCAGAAATCCTCATATTTCTCCCATAGAACAGCTGGTAGTTTCAACTGTTAACTATGAGGTTAGCAACCTGATTCGTAACCACTAAGCTACCAGAGCACTTTTATTCAGGACTGGAAATGGAGAAAATGAGGTCATCTGCTCCTGTCAAGATTTATAGTCTCAGATTTCTGGCAAAATGTGGAACTAGAGAGACACACCTGATCTTCTACAACAAAGTCATTAGAGATCAAATAAAACAGAGAGATGAAAATCCTGGAACCCTGAACTTCAGAGGAAAGGTTATTGAAGTGGACTGAGTGCTTGCTGGGAGGAGCAACTGAGCAGGGACAGTGAGAGAAGGAGAATGAAGTGGTGTGGCCAGTTCCCACACTCATCCACCTCCAGTGCAGACCCTGTTCTCTAAGAGTACAGTCACATGGTTATGAACCATATCAGTGTGAGGCAGGGACTGGCTGCATTGCTTTGGTGTATAGATTTAGGTGGGCTTGGCACTGGACCTACAGAACCCACAGAGCCACCAGACTAGCATTAGTCTAGCAGAAACCTTGATTATCAGGAATCCTACCCCCAGATGCTTTGTGGTCCTAACAGACATTGAAACCAGCTCCTTCAAGAGCCTCTAAAAACTACTTCTAGATTAAGTGCCCTGAACAAAGATAACACGAAGGCCTATAGGAATTTCACATAGGGTGAGGAAATCCATCCACTGTCACATCCCTCCCACATACTCACCTCACTTGGCTGGCAGGAATCCCCCAGAGTTCTTTCCTACCTGGGTCCAATAGCTGCACTGTTGTTGTTTTTTTTTCCCCTTTTGTTGTTTTTTGCCTTTTGATCTTTATTATTCTCTACTATATATTTTTTTTTTTTCACTTTTCATATTCCCTCTCCTTGGTTTTTCCAAGTGGTTTTTAATTTCTTCCTTTTATTTTCTCTTCTGTAGCTTCATTTGGGAGCTCTGGTAGTGTAGTGGTTATGAAACTGGCTGCTAATCTCATGGTCAGCACTTTGAAACTACCAGAGGTTCCGCGGGAGAAAGATGAGGCTTTCTGCTCCTGTAAAGATTTACAGTCTTGGAAACCCTATGCAGGGTTGCTATGAGTCAGAACTGACTCCACGGCACACTACCACTACCATAGCTTTTTTTTCCTATCCCTTTTTTCTCTTTTTTAGTTATTTTATTTCTTCTCTGGTTGCTCCTTGTTTCATTCTGCTGTGCATAGGTCGCTATGAGTTGGTGCTGACTCAATGGCACCTAACAACAACAACCTGTTTTTATTTATTTTCTTCTCCTTCATTATGTTCTGTTTTCATTGTAGGCTGCTTGTCTGTTTATTCTGCTTTGTCTTCTTGTGTGAGTGTAGGAGTTGGGTTTTCTCTTCTTCCTCACCTGATCAGAGACAGAAATCAGGCTCATACAGCCCAGCCACAACAGGATCCTGTTCAGGATCCACCCATTGGGCAAAACCCAACAGCAGCTCCTTTGCCACCTGATCAATAATAGACAGCTGCCAACAACAGTAAAGCCCACTCTAAACTGACGTGCATGAACTGTAAGTGGAGAACAGTGCACATGCTTCCATTCCCTAACTATACCCAGAGGATACAGCTGGTAAGAGACTAAGAACACATCAACATAAGTTAAATACAAATGTGATAATACTACAATGTCCAAGAGACAACAGACTATATTGGCTCACATGAAGAAACGAGAGAATGGCTAAAAAGATAATGACTACGATGCAGAGCCAGAAAACATTTCTGAGGTAAAAATGGTAAAGGAACTAACTAAAAAAAGAATTTAAAAGAATGATATTTAGGTACCTTCAAAGGATTGACAGAAAGATTAACAAACAGACAAAATATATACAAATTTTGATACAGTAGAAAACCTGCAATTAGAAATCTGTAATTAATACTAAGATTTCAGAAATGGACAATACATTGAAAGGGCAAAGAAAGAGATGAGAAATAACAGAAGACCAAATTAGTGAGCTTGAAGAGAAATCTCTCAATACTAGTAAGCCAGAAGAACAATCAGAAAATAGAAACCAAAGAAAAGGAAAGAATCCTGAGAACAGCTTGGGAAAAACGAAAAGGAGAATCAGTAAGATGAAGCTCTGATTTCTCAGCAGAAACCATGCAGGCAAGAAGGCAAGAAGGGATGACATATACAAAATTATGAAAGAAAACAACTGCCAACCAAGAATTATATACCCAGAAAAGCTTTCCATCAAATGCAATGGCAAAATTAGGACATTTCTAGATAAACAGAAATGAAAGGAATTTGTAATAACCAGACTAACTTTACAAAAGTGTTAAAAGGTGTTCTTTGGACTGAGACTCAACAACAGACAACAATCTGAGATTAACATAAATGACAACACCACCCAGAACTCAATATAGACATGGAAATATTTAAAGTAAAACAAAGAGACAAGACTGAAAATAGGGAACCAGAGGTATCATTTTATAATGAAGTCAACTACAAAGCAAAAAGAGGGGATAATATAAATAAACAATTTCCAAATGTCAAGGCAGTCAAGTAGATTTCGAGTTAAACAGACTTTTAAATAGGAAAAAAAATCTTAAATTACAGGGCAACCTCAAAGACAATGAATACAACTTCATATCAAAATAAAACAAATGAAAATCAGAAAGAGTCAGTAAACAGAAATGAAAAGAAGATCCACAAGCAAAATGAACTCAGTGCAGAAAATTATGTGGAACAAAGAAACCAGCAACATTACAAAAAATAATGACAGTAATCAATTCATATAATTACACAGAACGTAAAATAAATGTACTAGTCAAGAGACAGACAGTAGCAGAATGGATAAGAAAACAGGATCTATCAATATGCTGGCTATAAGAGACACATCTTACACACAAATATAGAAACACACTAAAATTCAAAGTATGACAAAAATATATTAAGCTAATGACAATAAAAAACAAGCAGGAGTGGCTATTTTAATCTTGGATAAAATAGACTTTAAGGCTAAAACCAGCAAAAGAGACAAAGAGGGGCACTGTGGCATTGTAGGATAAGCACTGAATCATAAGGTTAGTTTGAACTGCAAGGTTCTTGATTCAAACTTACTAGCTGCTCCTTGGAAACCCTATTCAGGGTCACCATGAATCAGAACCGACTCATCGGCACTTAACGGTAACACCAACAAAGGAACAACCATAACAAATAGCTGTGCCACCAATGAAAGATCCTAAAATACATAAAACAAACTCTAATACAACTGGAAGAAAAAATAAATTATAATAATAGTGCTGTTAGGTGCTGTCGAGTTGATTCTGAAAAAACTGTGTGGTCCTGTACCATCCTCATAATCATTAAGCTTGAAGACATTGCTGCTGCCACTGTGCCAATCCATCTCATTGGGGGTCTTCCTCTTTTTCGCTAACCTTCCATGTACCTAGCATGATATTCTTCTCCAGGGATTGGTCCCTCCTGACAATATGTTGGAAGTGTGAGAGACGGACTCTTGCATCCTGACTTCAGAGGAGCATTCTACTTGTACTTCTTCCAACACAGGTTTGTTTGTTCTTCTAGCAGTCTACAGTTATTTTAATATTCTTCTCCAACACCTCAACTCAAATGCATAAATTTTTCTATAGTTTTCCTTATTTACTGTTCAACTTTCACATGCATCTGAGGCTATTGAAAGTACCATGACTTGGGTCAGGCACACTTTATTCCTTAAACTGACAACTTTGCTCTTGAATACTTTAAAGAGGTCTTAAGAAGTAGATTTGCCTAATGTAATACATTAATTTCTTGACTGCTGCTTCCAGGAGTGTTGATGGTGGCTCCAAGGAAAATGAAGTCTTTGACGAATTCAGTCTTTTCTCCATTTAGCATGATGTTATTTATTGCCCTAGTGGTTAGTATCTTTGTTTTCTTTACATTGAGGTGTAATACATACCAAAGGCTGTGGTCTTTGATCTTCGTAAGTATTTTAGGTCCTCTTCTTTTTCAATAAGCAAGGTTGTATCAACTGCATATTTTTAAGTGCCGTCAAGTCAGTTCTGATTCATAGCGACCCTTTATAGGGTTTCCAAGGAGCAACTGGTGAGCTTGAACTGCTGACCTTGTGGTTTAAACTGACTTTGCAGTCCAGTGCATTTGCCCACAACATCACACCAGTTAATGAGTCTACCTCCAATCATGATGTCACATTCTTCTTCATATAATCCAGCTTCTCGGATTATTTGGTCAACATATGGACTGAACAAGTATGGTGAAAAAATACATCCTTGGTGCACACCTTGCCTGATTTTAAACCATTTAGTGTTTCCTTGTTCTGTTCAAACAACTGCTTCTTGGTCTATGTACAGGTTTCTCATGAGCACAATTAAGTGTTCCAGAACACCCATTCTTTACAATTATATCCGTAGCTTGTTATGGCCCACACAGTCGAAAGCCTTAGCATAATTAATAAAGCACAGGTATTGAAATCTTTCAGGAAAGTGAGGCAGCACAGGAGGCACTCACTCATCT